AGATGTTATTAATTCAGGGATTTCTTTTTTATTTCCAATCTGAGGTCCTCTATACCATTCTGCAGCTGTTTCTTTATTTCAGAAGCCGTTGATTCATTGCTTTCAGCTGTGATTTCCAATTTTTTCTGTGTTAGTGTTCTCTGCACTTTTTACGTTTGGGCTTGGGTTCTGAGGTTGCATTTTGTTCCTTCTCATCATTTTGTGTAGCACTGTCTTCTGACCTTTGTTGTATATCTTTGCTGTAGTTACAATCTTCACACGTACTGAAATTCAGGTGCAGCTCTACAACGTTTGGACTTATCCAGCTGTGCCTGGCTTGGGTCTGCCTCTGTGCTCATCTCCTTCCCGCTGCTGCCCTTGAGGGTGAACATGTTGTGCCCCTATGGGGAGATGTTCTGCTCCTCGTCTAGCTGGGTGGATCTATCATCTACACTCTCTGCAGGGATTGCAGCTGCAGGGTTACACCCCAGGCATGTATGCCAGGCCTGAGCTGTGCCTTGAGGGTGCAAGGTGGAGTAGGAGGAAGAGGCAGCTCTCCCTCACACTCACTGGTTCTTGGCTAGGACTGGGTCTGGGTGTTCTCGGAACATGGCAGAAATTCCTACTTGTCGGTCGGGGTGGGCGAGGTGCTGCGGAGTGGTGGGTTGCGTCCCAAGGGGGTGGGTCATGGTCTGGCCCATGCTGCGCCTGGACTGCGACTGGTCCCACAGGCGTAGGGTAGCAGGAAGCTCTCCCACACTCACTGGACCTGGGTTAGGACTGGTTCTCATTTCTAATGATTTTGAAACACTTATCATGACTGTTTTTTGTAAGTAGAGTCATTCAGGGTTTTTTTAGTGCTTTCTATTTTTTCACCATCTTATATTTTTACTTTTAATTAATTTCTCAATTGTCTGAAATATAATTCACTAGTTGTCTCAGATGTACATGTTCTATAATAGATGAAACTTTGCATGTAATTGTTTCTATTATGTAATTTTATTAAAATGTAGGGTCTAGAATTGTATCTGAAGTTGTTTCTTTTACAATATTTTAATTTTTAAATTTTCGGAGCAAACATTTATAAATAAGTTAATATTGTGGTTTATTTAAAATATTTAAGAAATGTAAAAATCATTATGTAGAAGAGGTGTAAGTAATCAAGATCCCAACATATAACATAAAAACAGAACATGACCATTGTTTCCACACAATGCTTACTAAGTGATTCTTAGACAGTACCTTGAGGTCGTTTTTTTTTCTGTAGTTAATTCTGAAATGCTTAAAAATATTTTGCAATGTTGTGGAAGACAGAATTTTATTGTTTCTGATACATATTTGATGCACAGAAATGTAATGGTAAAAATCCTACATAGAATATGTACCATGTCATTCCATTTATTCAAATTTAAAAAAGAAAAAGCAGGTAGAATTTAATGTGTAACATTAAAGCAATAGAAAGCTTACAGATTAGTGGGAAGCACTGAAAGGGAGAAAATGACATTATACTGGTGCTGTAGCTATTGCTCTGTTTCAGTGATAAACTATGCAGAAATGTTTACTTCAAAGAAAAAAATGCTACATAGAAGCTCAGAAGGTATTAATATAAAACATATTTTGATAAAATTTTACCAAAATATAGTTTTTCTAAGTTCTCAGAATAATGCTCCTATATTTCATAGTAAGTATTTCTTCCCAGTGCTATTTTCTCTCAGTGAAAAATTATCTTTTCCAGAATCATTGTGTTGCAACAACCATAATGGGTGGAAGACAGGGTTTTGGGTAATTTTTTTTACATAAACAATGGTTGTTATATTGCATAATGTTGTACTCAAATTACTTGTTTACCAGATATAAGCAAACAAAATTGGTTTTAAAAAGTTACAAAAAAATGAAAAAGGAAAAGAAAAATTTTAATCATTAATTACTCCTTTCAAAACACAAGCAGCAGTCAGTAATGAAAGAAAGTTTCAGTACACAATAGTAATTTGGTTGTTCATGAAAGTCCCTCTCCATACCTTTTACAATAACACTGTGGAAAATGAAATACCTTGGAATTAATCTAACTAAAAACGTCAAAGATCTTTTCAAGGAAAATCACAGTAATCTGAAAAAAGAGATCATACAGGATTTCAGAAAATGGAAAGATACTCCCTGCTCCTGAAGGGGAAGAACCAACATCGTGAAGATGGCCATACTCCCAAAAGTGCTGTACAGATTTAATGCGATCCCTGTCAAACTACCACCAACATACCTCACAGATCTAGAAAAGTCATTCCTAAAATTTATTTGGAACCAGAAAAGACCTAGAATAGCAATGGCAATCCTGGGCAATAAAGACAAGGCAGGAGGCATTACAATTCCTGACTTAAAATTATACTACAAAGCTACTGTGATAAAATCAGCATGTTATTGGCAACAAAATAGACCTAAGTATCAATGGAATAGATTAGAAGATACAGAAGACTCTATAACACACTCAGCCAACTAATCTTCAAAAAAGTGGTACAACATTCCTACTGGAAGAAAGATAGCCTCTTTAACAAGTGGTGCTGGAAAAACTGACTCTTTACCTACCAAGAACTAATACTTGACCCAGATCTATTCCCATTCACTAAGCTAAAGTCAAAATGCATTAAAGATCTAAACATTAAAACAGAAACAGTAAATCTCCTGGAAGAGAAAGTAGGAGGGACTCTTGAAGACATTGGGGTAGGCAAAGAGTTCATGAGCAAAAATCAAATCACAAGGGTAATATTTGAGAGAATAATTAACAAAAGGGACCTCCTGTCATTGAGAAGTTTTTGCACATCAAAAGAAGTTACCAATAAAGTAAAAAGACAACCCACAAATTGGAAAAACATCTTAATGAATAAGCACTCAGACAAAGGTCTTTTCTCTAGAATTTAGAAATAACTAACAAACTTACGAACCCCAAAATTTAAAGAACCAATCCAAAAAGGGGCATTCAAGATGAACATACACTTCTCAGAGGATGAAATTAAAGAAGCGAATAAATATATGAAAAAATGCTCCACATCACTAGCCATCTGTGAAATGTAAATTAAAATAATA